ATAATCCCTATTAAGGAGATATTCCCACCTTGTACTAACAGCTGCTTAGTAGGGACTATAATGGGGAGTACTAAGGGGATGATAGTAGGTACTATAGTCCCTATTAAGGGGATGATAAGCGGGGGGGGGGGGGGGGGTACTATAATCCCTATTAAGGGCTGTTAGTATAAGGCGGCACATCCCAAGGGCTAAGTGTTACCATCAACTCTGACGATCGAAACATCTACTGAATCTACTTTGTGCTTTACTGCTACAATTGTCCCAGAGCGAGCTGCCTTTATGTTGCATGTCCCCTAGCAACACGAAGAAACCAGAAACCCTAAACCCTAAACCCTAAACCCTAAGAGCTCTACAGGCAGCCATCTGTATAGCAGCTCCTGAGTATACTGTGTAGGGAGGATCCAGCTGTCTATGAGTAAGGCCATGTTTAGGGTTTAGGGTTTAGGGTTTAGGGTTGAACCCTAAGCCCTAAACATACCAAACCGTAAACCCTCAACTTACTAAGCCCTAGACCCTAAGCCCTAAGCCCTAAGCCCTAAACCCTAAGCCCTAAACCCTAAACCCTAAACCCTAAACCCTAAACCCTGAACCCTGAACCCTAAACCCTAAACCCTAAGGCCTAAACCTTCCCTCAGAGCCTGACCCCCGTCAAGGTGCGGCTTCTGCTACAGGTGAGCTGGCGCGGGATGAAGGTAGGGTTTGGGGTTTAGGGTTTAGGGTTTAGAGGTTTAGGGTTTAGGGTTTAGGGTTTAGGGTTCAAGGTTTAGGGTTCAAGGTTTAGGGTCTTACACGAGAGCTTTGAAGGCAGGCTCCTTCCGCAGGCGCAGGAGCAAAGCACGGTTGAAGCTTGCGTTTCAGGCTCTGCAAGGATGTACACCCATAACATAGACACCCTAAGCCCTAAGCCCTAAGCCCTAAGCCCTAAACCCTAAACCCTAAACCCTAAACCACAGCGCTGTCTTCAGAATCGCCTGAGCAATCAGCGCCACGAGCTGCTCATTTGAGAGGTGTGTCCTCCTTCGAGGTCCTAGAGACTCGAAACAAGAAGCAGCGACAGCCAGCAAAAGTGGTCCGAAACCCTAAGCCCTAGACCGTAGACCCTAAACTCTGGGCAACCCAGCACGGGACTCCTTCACGACCTTTGCCGATTGTGGATCTTGCAGCAAGGGGTCCTTCTTATTATTTTGCTTCATGCAAGGATGTATTTTCTCAAACCTTAAATATATCTTTGGCATACGTACTTCATGTAAGAGACTGTAACCTTAAGAAAGTACGATAGTAAGACTTTACCAGCCCACTTTAGGGTACAACCATACGATGAGCTGGAGGGCTCCCTTCCGAATTTCGCAGGGCGCTTGAACCACCACAAACCTAACGGCCTCAACTAAAGCCTCCTAGACCCTGGGGCTCTTGCAAATGCTAAACTCCTAACCCTAGCCTGAAAATCCTACACCCCAAAGCCCTAAACCTCTAAGCTCTGAGCCCTTGAACCCCCAAGCCCAAGACTCCTAGACCCTGGAAACGAAGCCATTTTCTCCGCCAGACCCTCAAACCCTAGTCCCCAAAACGCAATGCCCTTGCATGAGGCTCTCAATTCCGGAGAGCATGCATTTAGGGTTTAGGGCTTAGGGTTTAGGGTGTAGAAGCAAGGGCTCATGTTGCTGCCAGCGGCTCAGCAGTCACGTGGATTCACGACACAGCTTCTTTTCTCTCCACCATGTGCAGCATGCTTTCGACATGCCTCACACTACGTACCTCCCATTGTCTAGACAACTCCACGCTGCATCGCGCAAGCCTGCAGAACCCTCGACTTCGCAACCACAAGTCAGTGGCACCAAGGCAGAGATACAGGAAGCCCCTCACGACCCCTCTCCCGCCCAGCCACCGCCACACCCGCAGCAGCACTCGTATGATGGTCACTAGGGTTTAGGGTTTAGGGTTTAGGGTTCTTAGGCTCTTAGACGCGTCTTTACCCCCAAACTAATCGCCTCTTGGCCTCGGGACGCCTTCTTGCTTCTGCTCAGCTGATTGGCGCCGCCCCAGAACAGCACCCGCTCCTCAGACCGGTCTTGGGAAAGACCCTAAACCCTAAACCCTAAACCCTAAACCCTAAACCCTAAACCCTAAACCCTAAACCCTAAACCCTAAACCCTAAACCCTAAACCCTAAACCTTAAACCAAGAAAGTTTTCTTAAATCCATTTGCTTGTGTACAGCCGACGTTGGCCCCAAAGTAGCTACCATTCCGTGGGATATAGGGTTTGAGGGATTCTATCTAGTATACCCCCTCCCCCCCCCCCGCCCATCAGAATCCTTATGAAGGACTGTTAGGTGTAGGTTTAGGATTTAGGGTTTAGGGTTGAGGGTTGAGGGTTGAGGGTTGCAATAAGCGCCCACACCCAGGTGGCCTTGGTCATAAAGTAGCAGCACGGGGGGGGCCAGAGTTAGGTTATACATGGATTTTAACACCCTAAACCCTAAACCCTAAACCCTAAACCCTAAACCCTAAACCCTAAACCCTAAACCAACCTTCTGAACCATGCCTGCTCTCGGCAGGCCCCCAAAGCTTCATCCCAGGACTTGCGACCTCGCCGCGCCGAGCTGATCCTCCACAGCCATAGCGCCCAAACGCGAGCAAGGCAGCGGTCACCTCAAGCCCTAAACCCTAAACCCTAAACCCTAAACCCTAAACCCTAAACCCTAAACCCTAAACCCTAAACCCTAAACCCTAAACCCTAAACCCTAAACCCTAAACCCTAAACCTAAACCCTAAACCCTAACCCTAAACCCTACAGACCCTAAACCCCTAAGACCCAACAAGACCCTAAGCCGTATTCAGTTTCAGTCCCGTAGGATCCATGTCTGGGGAGAGACGCGTCGAGAAGCTTCGCTACGCCGATGCCATGCCCCAATTTCTCCTGCTAAGTAAGCTGCTTTTGTGTCCCCAAACCCTAAACCCCAAACCCTAAACCCTAAACCCTAAACCCTAAATCCTGTTGCGAAGTTCGGGCTGTGCTTTGGGCTTGCCACTGAGGGTGTGGGGTTGGTCTTGCCAGGGGTCGAAAAGCACTAAACTCCTAAACCTTAAACCCATAAACCCTAAACCCCTAAATTCCTAACCCTTAAACCCCTAAACCCCTAAACCTTAAACCCCTGAACCGTAAACCTTATACCCCAAAACCCGAAAGTTTGGTTTGTCTTGCGAGAGGCACTGAAAGCAAGGGGAAGGGCACGGAGCCAGTTCCCTCCAACTCCTGGTTGCAGGTCGGAGCATGCACCAGGATAAAGGGAGGGGGGGTTTAGGGTTTAGGGTTTAGGGTTTAGGGTTTAGGGTTTAGGGTTTAGGGTTTAGGGTTTAGGGTTTAGAGTTTAGGGTTTAGGGTTTCTGGGACGCTGGGACCGCTGGGACCCCGAATTGGGCCCTTATTCCTAAGCCCTGAACCCTAAACCCTATACCCTTAACCACCTAAAGCCTAAGCCTAAAGCCTAAAGCCTAAAGCCTAAACCCTAAACCCTAAACCCTAAACCCTAAACCCTAAACCCTAAACCTTTTCTTGGATGGGGCCCTGGGTTCGATCCCTCTTAAGCGCCTCTACGAAGCAGACAGAGGGTGCCCTGTTTTACTCCCTAGGTTATGCCGGGACCTAGCTCTAGGGTAACTTAAAGGCAAGATCGCTTAGTCTGCGCTCCTTCTTTTAAGAGTTGCGGTTTGGGGCAAGATTGTACAGCTCCCGTCCCTCGTAGTAGGCTTCGCGCTTTGATACAATCAAAAAGCGGGCTCGGATCTACAGATCATGTTCACGGGGTAGGCCCTAAACCGCAAACCTCCCTATATACCTTATATACCCTATCCTATAAACCCTAAACCTTACTAAGCCCTAAACCCTAACCCAAAAAACACCCAGAGCCCTAAACTCCTAAACCCTAAACCCTAGCACGGCACCTTGTGGTTGCTGTTGGGGTTTCAGGTTCCCCCGATAGTCAGGGCTATTTGGGTTTACGAAAACAGGGGACCCTTAAAATAGCCCCCCCCCCCCCCCCCCCCCGCCAAATAGTAGGATTCTTTCGGAAACCCCCAGTGGGGAAGCCCATGAGATTTTTGGATTTCGGGTTTAGGGTTTAGGGTTTAGGGTTTAGGGTGATCGGATCTCGCTGCGCAGAGTGCGGGGATGGCAGCCGAGACCTTCCAGGGGTGCATGTAGTCGAGTCTTGCCTCGAATTCCATATCTCTAGACCCTAAACCCTAAACCCTAAACCCTAAACCCTAAACCCTAAACCCTCAACCCTAAACCCCAACCCTCAACCCTCAACCCCAAACCCTAATGACTTTGACCCAAGATGAGCTTAAGGGCCGCACTCCCTCCCAGTGTAGTTGCCTTGCTGTGGCTTGGTAGGTAGGCTTGAGGGTTTTAAGGTTTGTTCAAGGGTTAGGACTCAAGGTTTCTTGGTAGCCCCATGGTACCCTTTTGCCAGTTTTGGGCTTCTAGCATGCCTTTTTTTAGAAAGAAACCAACCCCAACAAGGGCACCATCATTGGTATTACAAATATTATTATTACTCATATTCATTTTATTTTAATGTTGTTATTATTACTGTTGTTGTATTGGCTGCTGGGCTACTAGGGGGGGGGGGGGGCTGGCTTCATAGAATCTGAGCATAATGGGTAGGGTTGAGGGTTTAGGGTATCACCCCTTTAGCTACAGCCCAAATCCTTTCAGCATTCCATCAAGTACCCGTAAATTAACAAGGTCCTATATATATATATATACACACACACACTAAGTCACTAGGTACCTTGTTGGGTGTAGTTGGGATATCTTGAGGGGCACTTGCGGATTTACGAAAGCCGTAAACACTTCTTCCGAAACCCGGAAACCCTAAACCCTAAACCCTAGACCCTAAACCCTAGACCCTAGACCGTAAACCCTAACTTCTTCGAAAACCAAAATCACCTTGTCTGGTGGAGAGGTGTGCCCCGATTGTCTGGGCTGGCGCCCGCTCATGACGAGTGAGGCCGCAGCCGTGGGGACTGGGTTTGGGGTTTAGGGTTTAGGGTTTAGGGTTTAGGGTTTAGGGTTTAGGGTGTTGGGTGTTGGGTTTAGGGTTCTTAAGGGAGGGGGCTTCAAGGGGAAGTATGTAATTAACCCAAGGTCCACAAATACTCCCCGTTGCTCCCTGAGCTCCCTTAGGGTTCCTTAGCTACCCCATCGAAACCCGCCTTCCTTGAGGATCCTACAATATTGGGTTTCTTATTCTATATTCGTTTAGGGTTTTGGTTGGTTCTAAATTCGTTTAGGAGTGTTGTTTTTTTCGAAGTTCCTGTCAGGTTGCTTTAGAAGGTTTTGTTGATGGAGTCTCCTGGCTCTACAAAAATCATCCCCCCGCCGAGATCCTTCGTCAAACTAACCCAATGTGCTTGTTTTGAAGGTTTTGGGTTTCGCTTCTGTGTGGGTGATTCCCTACAAACCCTGAGCCCTCAACTCCTCAACCTCAACCGGAAGTTTTTTAGCATGTACGCTGCACGTATCGCGAGGATGCTACAGACAGGGTCTTGCTCGCACCCTAAACCCTAAACCCTAAACCCTAAACCCTAAACCCTAAACCCTAAACCCTAAACCCTAAACCCTAAACCCTCACAAGCCGAAATCCGCGACATGCATCCAGGCTTAGGCATGCCCAAGCGGACGCCAGCTCGCGGTTCAAGTTTTTGGGTCTTAAGGGTTTAGGGTTTAGGGTTTGGGGTTTAGGGTTTGGGGTTTAGGGTTTAGGGTTTGGGGTTTAAGGGAGTCTCCGGTACTCTACCAACTTAAGTTCACGAAGAAAACCTAAGCAGCATGACCTGCAACCCACTTGGCCCCTAACTTGGAGCACTAGCAGGGTTTAGTGTCAGAGGTTGGTGTCCTACGAGAGCTTGAGCACCATGACACCAGATGATCTCTACGCTTCTATACCCACGATTCAGCCGAAGAACAATTTGCTGGATATCGCGGTCCCGGGCATCGGCAAGTACAACTTGGAGGCACACAGGACTGAGAATAAGCCAGTTATGACGCAGGAAAACTGGTGCAAGTTATGCATCGGAGTGGCCGAGAAGAACATGGCCGCGTCTCCTGACGACAAGGGTTCAGGGTTTAGGGTTTAGGGTTTAAGGGGAGCTCCCTAAGAAGTTCTTTGGATGATTTGGATGATGCGAGGGCCCGACTGCCATGTTGCATCTTGAATCCTAAGACCCTAAGCCCTAAACCCTAAACCCGAGACCGCCTCGACCCCAAACCCTAAACCCTAAATCCCAAACCCCAAACCATTAGAATAGGGTTCTTGGGTTTTTTTTGTATAGTTACAAAGGGACCATAAGGGTATTAATAATTATTCCGACCCCCTATATTAGGGTTTTCTACTATTTGCTTTGGATCCTGGCCACGTCGGTGACATCCGCTGCTTCTGCAACCTGCACCGGCAAGTGCAGTGGCCCATACTCAGGTGTTCCAATGCTTGGGCCAGAAAACCCTACAAGGACCACACATGCCAGCTTTTGACGAAGCATCTGGGCATTTTCCTTCGGGCTGTGAAGCACAAGCCTTACCTCCACCGTATTGTGCCTCAGAGGCAAAGGCGTCACATGAAGCTAAAGCCGAATGCGAGGAGGCGAAGGGACAGCAAGCAACACGGCACTCCCTGGAGAAAGGCCCTAAACCCCAAACCCTAAACCCCAAACCCTAAACCCTAAACTCTACTGTAACCCCTAAATCCTGAGCACGAAGAAGCAAAACTAGAGAAGCAGCAGGCGGAGTTCAATCATGTTCTCCCTCGCCGAGTCCTCTACAAAATCAATCTTCCTTATAGGGGCAATCCAGGGATCTTGTTGTTTGTTTTTTCGGGGTGGGTTCTTAAGCAAATAGTTTTCAACCTGAGCCCTCAACCCTAAACCCAAAACGGGTTTAGGGTTGAGGGTTTCCAGACCACTCCATCCTGGAGGGGAAGGTGTGTAGGTTGTCTTGTATGACCCACCGCGCGAAAACAGAGTGCTAAGACACGGGTAAGTCTCCTTGTGTTGCCGTTCTTCGGGGTTACGTTTCCGCATAGACTCCCAGTATCTAAACTGAAAACAAGGCACTGTTGTATTATCAGGTTGCTGGTGAGCCTGCTTCCGGAGTGCCAACATTAGATAATGCTAAGAGTGAGTGTTTTTTTTTGGTTTCGGCTACGCCTGTGCAGGTCGCCCCCTGCATGCCGTTTGATTGGTTACGGCGCGCGTCAGGCGGGGTTTAGGGTTTAGGGTTTAGGAATTAGGAAATTCCGAGATGTGCACAGACCTAGAGCTGACAGTTTTTGGGGTGTAGGGTTGAAACCTCACAGTCAAGCATGTATATGAGTATCATTTTGCGACTGTGCCCTGTAGAAGACTGAGCCCACGTAAACCCCAAAAAGCCCTAAACCCTAAACCCTAAACCCTAAACCCTAAACCCTAAACCCTAAACCCTAAACCCTAAACCCTAAACCCCAAACCCCAACCCAAAGCCCTGCATCCTACACCGTAAGGCTTGGACCCTCATCCGCACGAGCCACACGCCCTTCAAGCCTGAGCCTGAAACGCTGAGCCCTGAATCAAACTTCGGGTTTAGGGTTTAGGGTTTAGGGTTTAGGGTTTAGGGTTTAGGGTTTCGGGTAGACCGCCCCCGCCCTCCCCTCCCCCCCCCATCCCGTCCCACGAGTTAGGACGCCATTTGCCGAAAGCACACTCCTTGCGCCCTACAAGCTTGGGACCCCGAACCCCAAATCCCCCCTCCCCCCCGGGAAAGAAAAAAACAAAACAACTTTGATGGATTGCCTTAAAAAAGCCCCACACCTTAAACCCAAAAACCCTTAACCTCCAACCTTGCCTAAGCCCTAAACCCTGACCCCTAACCCCTAACCCCTAACCCCTCAACCCTCAACCCTAAACCCTCAACCCTCAACCCTCAACCCTCAACCCTAAACCCTAAACCCTAAACCCTAAACCCTAAACCCTAAACCCTGCAGGCCGTCCTGCTTTGGCAGGTGGAGGCTCCGAAGGCCTTCAGAGCTTTGGGTTTGGGGTTTAGGGTTTAGGGTTTGGGGTCTAGGGTTTAGGGTTTCGGGTTTGGAGCCTGGGGTTTAGGGTCTGGGCTTTAGAGGGTTTGGGGTTTTAAGGTTCAAGGATTAGACTCCCGTTCCCGGCCCCTTGTCAATCTCCTTCTGATACCCCCATGCACCCCCACGATAGTGCCCTTATGGGGGTTCGGGTTTAGTCGAGGCACTTTTGCACTTTTGGGTTGTGGGTATAGGGTTCTGTGTTAAGGTAATTTGGGACGTGGGGTTGCCGGGTTTTGGGTTGAGTTCGACATCTGCGTGTTACGTGAGTGGGCGGGGTTTCCAATAAGGTCCATATGCGATCCTGAACCCTAAACCCTCATGACCCAATACTCTCATACACCAAGCCCTAATACCCTAAACCGCGAATACCCTGAACCATGGGGGCGTTGCGGTTCTGAAATCTGGGCTATTTCGAAGTTCTGTCTTCAGGGCTGACCTTGTAGGGTTTAGGGTTTAGGGTTTAGGGTTTAGGGTCTCGTGTTCAGGCTGTGGGGTTTAGGGGTATCTTCATTGTTTGCAGACCTCAACAAGTCAAGCCCCTACCAAACCCTGGAAGCCCTCTGACCCCCAAAATCCCGACTAAACCCACGGATGCCACCAAACTAAAACTCCCCCTAACCCTAAACCCTAAACCCTAAACCCTAAACCCTAAACCCTAAACCCTAAGCCCTATGATGTGCCAACAGCTTAGCAGCCCAGTGGTACCCTTTACCCTTTTTTTGGTTATGGGTTCCGTTATAAAAAAATAGCCAACCCAAGAAAGGGTGCCCTTATTTGTAATATGGTTACACAGGCTCCATGACAGGCTGGTCGCTGTAACTTGGCTTTCTTCTGGCTCTTCTGACTTTAACCTTTTGGGTTGTTGAAGAAACTACAATTGGGAGCCCAAAAGTTAAACTTGTAGGAGGGGTTCAGAAGTCAGCCAGCCAAGGTAAGTAGCTGCAAGCATCACTGTGTGTAGTTAGTTACAGCTTTCCACGATGTGGCCCTGCCGGGACAGACTGACACTGAGATGATCGGCTGATTCGGATCGTTCCGCATTGGCCTTCTAGTGGGTCGCGCAGGGGGGGGGGGGGCACAAATCTACGTAGCCTGTAAACTGGGTACGCCCTTGGGCTATTTGACGTTTCCCCTTTTGAGTTTAAGAGCCTCATGTGTAGCAATATGTTTCACGTGCCTCAACCTGGTCAAGGTACATTTGAGGGTGCTTCAGGCTCTTAACAAACCTCATCTCCGAAAGCAGGTTCACAAAACCGGTCTCAAGACGTCTGTCGCCGCCTTAAGGAGGCCAGGCTGGAACGCATCCGAGCAGCAGGGTTTAGGGTTTGGTGGGCGTGTAAGGGTGTATACTGTATGTAGCTGTCGGTAAGAGTAGGAATAAATGCCTGCCTCCCACCCCCCCCCCCCCCCCCCCCCCGCCCCCACACTAGAATGGCCTTGATCATGTGTTGCCATTTTGTGTGTTAATCTCGCTAGTTCTATCCATCAGGCGCCATAAAAATTGCAAAAGCAATGTAAAAGGGATTCCGAGAGAAGGGTCCCTACTGCCGATAAACATAAGTTTGCTGACATCATACGGGCCCTGACTACTTATGGCAAGGAAGAGGACTGCTCAAGGAAAGGCTGGACTCTTGCCCAGTTCAAGCCCGAGTTCTAGGACACCCTAGACCCTAAACCCGAAACCCTAAACCCGAAACCCTAAACCCTAAACCCTAATCCCGAAACCCTAAACCCTAAACCCTAAACCCTAAACCCTAAACCCTAAACCCTAAACCCTAAACCCTAAACCCTAAACCCTAAACCCTAGACCCTAAACCCTAAACCCTAAACCCGAAACCCTCACCAAAAAAGGACGACGTTAGGGGTTACAGCTTTGGTTCAGGGTTTGGGTGGGTCGCCGCATTAGGGTCCCTTCTTGGGTCCCCTCGATGTAGCACGGCACCCTTATCATAAGGACCCTAAACCCTAAACCCTAAACCCTAAACCCTAAACCCTAAACCCTAAACCCTAAACCCTAAACCCTAAACCCTAAACCCTAAACCCTAAACCCTAAACCCTAATCTAGAGAAGTATCCGTTTAGGCAAAGCCTTGGGGTTTGGGGTGTAGGACGTCCCCTAATTATAACCCCAAGCCCTGCACCCTAAACCCTAAACGAGGGTGTTTGTAGGGTTTAGGGTTTAGGGTTCAGGGTTCAGGGATTAGGGTTTAGGGTTTAGGGTTTAGGGTTGAGAGTTGATCTGTTGATGAGGGTTGCATGGTCAGGTTTACAGTTCCGTCCCCGCCCGGGCCCGTTGTCCAGTTTTTCGGGGGGGATAGGCTATGGGAGTGGGTGAGCCCTGATAATGGCGGCTGGGGTCCACACGGGCGTATGCGAGACTTGGGTTTAGGGTTTAGGGTTTAGGGTTTAGGGTTTAGGGTTTAGGGTTTAGGGTTTAGGGTTTAGGGTTTAGGGTTTAGGGTTGTAAGCAAGGCCTGGAAGATCAGCAAACGGTGTGCAGATAACAGGGTTTAGGGTTTAGGGTTTAGGGTACGGGGGGACAACCAAGGAAGGAAATCAACTCCCCTAATCGCCCTGAACCTATATTCCCCAGATCGAACCAAGAAACAAACAAGAACACGGATAAGAGCAACCCAGGGGGGAAGGAAAGGGGGAAGGAATCCACACCCTTACCAAACCCTAAAAACCCAGGCACTACTTTTTGAACTTGTGGCTTTCTGTTCAAGCCCATCTTGAGCCAAACATGATTTCCGGGTTCATTAACCCTTCCAACTCTCAACACTAACTCTTTTCTACAATACCAGTTGCAGCTCCGCACTCCCCCTGTCCTAGGATTTCCTAGGACACATTGGAGGTGCAGATCTTTGGCCAAAAACTGCCATTAGGGCAGCAGCCAGCTGCTTGAAATGCACAATATGGTTTTACGTCTTCCAGGACGAAATTATAGCACATTGGCTAAATCCACTAACCATAGAGAATCTTTTTTCCACCTTGATCCTCTTATCATTGAAGACTCTTCGGCCTTCTTCACCACAAACCGTGGTCTTCGCTACGTGAAAAACTACTAACTTCTACTATCAGGGATTTCCATACCCTTAATAGTAACCACCACATTTTCAGCGCATTGGCCGATCCAGCGCACCTGTCTCCAGAAAGAGAAAAACCATCCCTTCATCCATACCATCCAGTCACTTCTTTTTCCGATGGTTTGCAATACTGAGGTGAAGTTGCAGCAGAATATACTCCAGGTCCGAAACTGCAAGAACAGGATCCTGCACGCACCTTTGAATTGAGGATACCAATCCTTCTCTCTTTGCGTCCTCAATCGCTTGGCAAGATTGACCCAGCTCTGCACTCACAGCGGTAGACGCTTGCGCATCCACATCAGAGGGACGATCCTTTTCCTCAGGACCTTTCACCACCACCACTTCTTCCTTTTTGGGGCTCTGACTTTTCTCCTTCTTCTTCGCCTTTCCACCGACGTTTGACTTTGTGCGCATTTTCGAGGCTTTTTCCCCTGCAGAAACCACCGCATTGGATGATGATCCACCCTTCTCAATGGTCGCCGGCATCTTCTTCGGCTTTGGAACCAGGAGAGTGTAAGGATCTTCGATAACTGCAGTTTTCCTCTTCGTTTTAACCTTTTTTACCTCCTCCTCAACGGCAACCTCCGTCTCAGAAGTCTCAACCACCTCCTTTTCGGCAGGAATATCCTTGCTGGACTCCCTTTCTAGGGACCTCTTCTTGCCCCTTTTGGGATCTTTTTCTTCTTCCACGTTGGCTCGCTCGAACCATATCCTCAGGTCATTGACCCATTCTTCCACCTCCGCGAGCGAAACCTCATACGACTTCACTACTTCGTGAAGTTCCAGCACGGACAGCATACCGGTGGTCCACGAAACCCATTCTCTATCCATCTGGTCAGTATCTCCATTGAACTTCAGGAGTTTGAACAGTGGGTCCGCCTCTGCTCGAGCCAAATCTGTTTTGCCATTGGACAGAAATGAAATCGCCTCCATCAACAGTTCCGCCATTTTGGTATCATCGTCATAAGTCATGGAATACTCCTCACCATCATCGAACTGTTCAGGAGAGATCTCCTTTTCCCCACCTTTTGCACCAGAACTTCTCCTTGGACCATCCCTTGGGGGCGTCCTTGGAGACCTTGGCCTCTGTTCATTCAGCGGATCACCATGCTCAAAAACACACCTGTCACCATAACGACACTTCCCAGACTGAGCAAACTGAATGCACCTCACACCAGTTGCATCATGCGAGAACGCACACTTTTTTCCAGCGAAACAGGGTCTCCCCGCCACATAGTATTTGCACCAATACGAATGCAGCACCACGTCATCTTCTGAATGGATGAATTTGCAGTCTTCACCAAATTTGCAGCGATCTTTTCCCTTACTGAACCAATAGCAGAAGCCTTTCTTCCTCTTCTCCAAGCGCTCCGCCTCGTACCGGTCCATAGGGCGATTCTGCTCTACATGAACATTGCCATGTGCCTGAGAACTGCTCCCTTCACCCAAGGTGCTATCAGTACTTGATGCTTGGAGTACAGCTGGAAAACCTGGCCTTGGTCCTACCACCTTCATGATTGGTTTTCCGCCAGCTCCTGAGCCACGCTGAGACAATCCAAAAACATTGAACTTCTTCATGAAGGCCTTCCTAGTGCCGATCTTCTGCACCCTTTTGATTGGATGCTTCATTGCTCCAACCTTGCATCCAGATACGTTCAAACGACACAACCTCCTATACCCAGCTCTATATCCCTTTTTCCAAAGAGCCATAAGAATTTTAGAGGCAGTAACATTCTCCACCTCTACCTTTTCCAACGGTCCCTCACTTCCCGGAACAAACCCATCCAACCCATCCATATCTGAAGACCTTTCCATCTTTTTTGACACCACTTCGTCGAGGTAGTCTTCAGAGATCCAGGGTAAGTTCCTCTTAGAGGAAGGATTGTCACCATTGTTTGGCCCTTCACAAGGATACCCCTTTGTGCTGTCAAAGATCTTACCAGTAGTGCGGTCCTGCGTAGAGAAATTGGAAGCCACGCGAGAGTACACTGACCACAAGAAAATCCTTGTGCCCGCCAGTCTTGACGACCCACTGGATGTCTCCTCTTCCGGAGAAACTTCTGGCGCTTTGCCATCCCTTCCAGTGTCACCAATTGTCTCACCTCCAGCATCTTCAATGGGAATAAGGGATTCATTGTTCCCTTGATCAAGTACCGCATCTTGTTGATCGGGGATCTCCAGCACCATTCCTGTAGGATCCACTTCCTCATCAGCATCGTCGTCCATTCTTCTCCAGAGAACCTCCAATTGATCAGCGCAGGTCGCCGCCTGAAGGAACTCCATCATTTGGTCCCTCCCGTGCTGCCAGAGAAATTCGGAATTCACCACTGTCCCTTGGCCTCCTAGTCTAAGTAAGGAATGGAGCGACCAGATTGGCTACCCTTGCCATAAGTTCCACATGAACTTCCATGCCTGGACTGCGACTCCAATCATAGGCTATTGCCTCCATAGCAGTTCCAAACTTTTCAGTATTTCTGAATTCCTTTTCCAGGCCAGGAGAAAGCAGTGCACCCATCACCGAAAGAGGATAATTCCCCACCACCGGCAAGCACGGATCTTCATGGAACGAATGATGCAAATCTCCGTAGTGTCCTTGATCTCTCCTTTCAAAAAGGAGTCTCCCAGTATTCAACTGGGCATTCAGTTCATCCACTTGAACCATTTCAGCACATATTCTCTGTGCCGCAGTCGCTATTGCCGGCCAGATAGCACGATCTGCCAACCCACGACGCATAACCCAAATAGTTGTCGCCGACTGAATCAGTGTACCAGGGTCATATGCCATGACCACCAATGCACCATCATCCATTCTCTGATCAGCATCATCTTCCAATGCCAGGTTCAAATCCTGTTCGCTTGCACCTTCAGATGACATGCTAATAACCAAATTTCGATCCATTTTATTGGACCCCTTCTGATAGTCCTTGTGCCCCACAGGCAACTTGCCGACAGCAACCTTCCAATAAATCCGATTCAGAAGACCTTTAACCAGCAATTGCTGAGGAACATTCTTCACCGGACGAACATCCAATGTCTTCGCACCATCACCACGGAGTTCATTGCTCCCACCTTCTCCTTCGTTTTGGTCAGTCTCCTCGCCAGGAATTTGCACTGCTCCTTCCAGCGCCGTCTCCTGTCCAGCCACTTCTTGCCCAGGAAGAACTTGAGCGCCTTCAGATACATTCACCTGTCCAGCAACACC